ATTCTCAATCTGATTTTCTCTCTCCTGATGAGGATGATCCTCCACCTGAAGTCCCAACAAACATTCGTCGTCTAGTAGAGCGATTTCCTGAAGTTCTGGCTGAACCTCGTGGAGTTCCCGAGCGTCCGGTCAAACACAAGATCGATATAATAAAAGGGAGTGTTCCTCCAAAGGGCTGCGTCTACCGTATGGGACAAGGCGAGTTGGAGGAGTTGAGGAGACAAATTGACGATATGATTGATCATGGATGGGTTAGGCCTAGCGAGTCTGAGTTCGGTGCACCTGTTCTGTTTGTGACGAAGAAAGAAAGCAAACTTCGGATGTGTATTGACTATCGTGGCCTAAACCGTGTCGCCCAAAAGAACGCTTATCACTTGCCTCGCATAGATGATCTGCTAGATGTTGCAGGTGGGTGCAAGGTCTTCTCCAAGATCGGCCTCAAGTCTGGCTACCACCAAATTGAAGTTGATCCGAGTGACCAGCACAACACTACATTCAAAACACGCGATGCGTTGTATGAATTCATCGTTATGCCCTTCGGTCTTACGAATGCACCAGCCACATTTCAATGCCTCATGGACAAGGTTTTCCACCATCAGCTCAATAGGTTTGTTGTTGTTTACCTTGACGACATCCACATTTTCAGCAAGTCCATGGAAAAGCACGTCCAACACCTTCAAGAGGTTTTGCAAGTCCTCAAGGAGGCACAACTGCACCTCAACTTAGAGAAATCTGAGTTTGGAAGGGACAGCGTCATCTATCTTGGGCACCGGTTGTCTGCAAACGGCCTTGAGCCGGAGGCAACCAAGGTTGAGGTCATACGAAAGTGGCCTCAATCGGCGAACGTACACGAACTGCGTTCTTTTCTTGGTTTGGCTTCGTATTACCGAAAGTTCGTGCCCAAATTTTTTGTCATTGCTCACCCACTCTCGACACTAACAAGCAAAAATGTTGCCTATGCGTGGTGTGAAAAATGCGAGACTGCGTTCCAAGCCTTGAAAGAGGCTTTGGTAAGTCATCCTGTGCTCCGCATTGTGGATCCCAACCTCACGTTCGTAGTTACTACGGACGCGAGCCAGTATGGGATTGGTGCAATGCTGCAACGAGATGATGGTGATGGTCTGCGTCCGCTCGAGTATTACAGCAAACGCATGCCCAACCACAAGGTAGCTACCTCCACATATATGCGTGAGCTCTATGCCTTGTGAGAAACACTCACACATTGGAAGCACTACCTCTTGGGTCGCCACTTCAAGGTCTACTCAGATCATCAGACCTTGCAGTGGATTAAAACACAAACTGATCTCTCTCCGACGCTGACCCGCTGGTTGCATGACATTGATGTTTACAATTTTGAAACATCGGAAAGGTTGTTATAATTGTATTGTTGATGCTTTGTCGCGCCATCCTAAGTTTTTGACTTGCCTTGTGAGCTCGTATGACCTCCGAAGGAAACTGAAGGAGGATCTGGTTGAACACACTGCCAAGGATCCAGACTTTAGTCCCATCCTTGAGCAGCTCAAGGCTGACCCTAGCAGTCAGCCTGATTTTCATGAGTGCGAGGGTCTTGTATTCCGCCGGTTTGGGAAATTTGATCGTTTGTGTGTACCCAACCATGAGCCTCTTCGGACTCATCTCTTGGATTTGGCACATGGTCGGAGTGGACACTTCAGCTTTGAGAAGACTTATGGAAGTTTTTTGCAGCAGTTTGACTGGCCGGGAATGAAGGGATCTGCTCAGAAATTTATTGTTGAATGTCAAGTCTGTCAAAGAACCAAGGTCCATAGGCATAAGCCTTATGGCCTGCTGAGACCCCTCCCAATCCTTGATGGGCCCGGTGAGTCGGTCTCTATCGATTTCGCGGACATGGGGAAGGTGAGCGAGGGAGGACATTCACAAGTCATGGTCATTGTGTATCTTTTTTCCAAATTTATGAATTCGATTCCTCTACCTTCTCATGCACCAACTGAGCTTGTGATCGAAGAATTTCACCAGCAGTACATTCTGCAGTATGGACCCCGAAAAACTCTTGTGAGTGATCGGGACACCAGGTTCATTAGCGCTGATTGGAAGGACGTCACTTCGCAGATCTACAACATTAAACTCAACAAGACTTCTGGTCGACACCCCAAAGCCAATGGATTGGCCGAGGAAATCAACCAGACTGTCATTCAATTACTTCGCACGTTAATTGTTCCAGATCAGAACACGTGGGACAAGGAGTTACACAAAGTGAAGGGGTTGTACAACAACTTCATTCACTCTGCAACTGGCGTGACACCGAATTAGCTGCAATATGGTTGGCAGTTGCGCAATCCTCTCTCCTATTTGTTCCCTGAACGGACCCCTGGTCTGACGCTCGACATGCCTGGCTACAATACCAAGTATGCACACTTGCTCAAAGCTGCTATCAAAGCAATGAACATTGAACAAGCGTCAGCATGCCATGATCAAACATGCTAACAAGTCGCGCAAAGAAGGGAACTTCGAAGCAGGAAGTTATGTCTGGGTCAAAATGTCCGAGTTTTCTGACGAAGAGGGCGTATCACGAAAGCTTCTTCCATTGTACTATGGCCCTTGGCAGGTTCTAAAGGTGATTGGGGATGATTTTGGTCCTTCGTATGTAAATAATGTGCCTCCTCATCTACGCACACATCCAGTCTTTCACGCGTCCAAACTGTTTCCACACATCGATGGCGAGACTTTTCCCTCCCGAGATCCTATGATACCTCATCCTATCGACGGCGGCCATGAGATAGACAAATTTGTTTCCCATGAAGGAAGAGGGAGGAACAGACAGTACAAGGTTCACTTACTCTATCACCCGTTGAACGAGTTTTTCTGGATCGACCGAAAAGAGCTGCTAAAGAATGCTCCACGCGTTGTTAACGCTTATGAGCGACAGATCGCTGATGGACACATTGCTAAGTTTTCTGCAAAACTCACTCCTCACGGTCTCACTAAATCTCTCTTTCTGATCTACGCCTACGACACATTTTGTGCCGACTCTAAATGAGTTACTCGCTCGAAGGGACCTCGCTCTTGAGAGGGGGGTACTTCAATGACCCGCCAAAACACAGACTGTGAACACTGCTGATTTCTGGGATTTGTCATTGGAATGAATGCCTTGCTGCTGTGGTTTCCGAGTCTGTGCGTGTGTGCGTGCCTGCTGGTTTGAGCGCCTGTCTGAGTGCTTGTCGGCTGAGTATGTGTGTGACCCACAAGGGTGCTTGTTGGTTGAAAGGCCCCGCAAGGCTGGTACTTACCTGTGGCCGTGACTTTGAGGGTTGCAGCAGGGTAAAACACTCAAAGTAGCAGGGGTAGGCCCGCGACACTTAGAGCAGCGGGGAAAAAAACACTCAAGTAGCACGTAGGCCGGTACCACTACTGGAGGCCGAGCAGAAGAAGACAAAAGTTGGCATTTTTAGAGGCCCATTAGCGGTAGGATAGAGGTAGGCCGGTACCAGTCCAAGTAGGCTGAGTCTAGGGCCTGTCCAGACAATAGCAGAGCCTGCAATGATGTTTCCCTCCGAAAGGGAGGAGGTACCGGTTGCTGGGAGGCCGCTCGACCTAGGAAGTCAATGCCCAGGAGACCAGTAGGCTGCTATATCTTCTGGAGGAGCTACTCATTTGCGGTATGCAAGGATTGGCGACATGCTGCTGAGCCAAGCGCTGGACTTGTGCAGCAGTGCCTGGAGGAGAAGGGCAGCTGGGCGCTCAGCCTGGCTATGGCGAGCAGCCCAGTTTGAGGAGGAGGAAGAAGAGGGCGAAGGAGGAGAGTGGCGAGGTACGTTCCTGGCTATGGTGGGCACCGTCTTCATCACCTGTTGGGCGCTGCATCTGGAAGGCCGCAGTTGGGGTAGTGCCGCACCAAGGAAGCTCTAGGCAGAATCAGGCATGGCGGCTTAGTCAGCAGCGGCATAGCTGCTTTGGGTTGTCCTTTGGACAGGAGTGCAGCGACATAGCTGCTTTGCATTGTCCTTTGCACAAGAGGACAGAGCCCTCAGTAGTCCACCATAGCCTATGCATGTGAGAGGTGGAAGAAGGGGGGAAGACATACCTATGGTGGACCTATTGTGATGTCAGAAATAAGGGGGAACTTCGGATATTGATTCTGGTCCATCCACTCATTGTTATTATTATTATTATTGGAGGAAGAATAAGATTGGCGAAGTGAAGGAGGAGGAGGAAGGTGGAGAGAGAAGGGGGATTTGTCATTGGTCTTGCTGGTGTACATCTTCTTCTTTTTCTTCTTCTTCTTCTTCTTCTTCTTCTTCTTCTTTCTCTCTTCTTTGGTCTCTATCTCTTTGCAAGTGCTTTCATTTCTTTTGCAATTGGGTGGCATTGTCTTTCATTGTGAACTTGCACTTTGGGAATGACCAGGATCATAACAATTACATATCCCCGTAGAGACTCCAAGCAAATTACAATAAAGAATTCCCAACTCTGTGAATGGTAACATTTCTGTCATTCAATCAAACACTCAACTACTCAAACAGCCAACAAAACTGCATCGATGAGCCACAGTGACAAACCGGCCAAACTCGTAGCAAATAAAAAATATACTTCACTGCGCTAAACCTGCATTTCCTTTTTCAGCTATCCACAACACCGCTCTCCAATACCTCTCTCTCTCTCTCTCTCTCTCTCTCTCTCTCTCTCTCTCTCTCTCTCTCTCTCTCTCTCTCTCTC